ACAGGCAGCCAGATGACTCTGTTGTTTCTATAGTTTTGGATATTTTCTCTGAATTTCCTGCTTACTCAGGTAATATACTTCTTGGGTCTTTGATGGGGTTGAAAATAGATAGTTATAGTTGTCCTTGTTACCAAATTAAAGAAAGAAAAAAGAAACTCACAAAAGAGGTGTAAAAGTATATAAGGTTGAGAAATATAAAAGCTGTTTAATCTAAGAAAATATTTTACAGTCTAAAAGGACATTTTTAGAAAGGTAAATACAAGTTATAATAAAAAGTGTTGAGGTGTAAAACTTTGGACTTATCAAGAGAGGGTAGATAATAGTTTCTTTGTATATGCCAAATACAAATGAACTAAACATTGTTAATGTAATTCTTACTGATAATTGTTATTATTGTATACAGTTTTACTGTGTTAGAGTCAAACCCTTTCCTTCTTATTTAGACAAAAGGGGGAAATGTTGCAGAATATTTGTTTACATTGTGAAAATGTGTCACTGTGATTGGTTAATAAAGAGATGAATGGCCAATAGCTAAGAAGGAGAGAATATGTGGGAGTTCCAGTCAAAGAGAGGAACTTGGGATGAATCTAGGTAGACAAGAGATGCCAGGAAAGACTGAAGAAATTGGGCAGACATTGCAGAGGAGAGGTAACCGAGCCAAGTGCCAGAATGCAGATTAATTGAAACAGGTTCATGTGAGTTATAAGAACTAGTTGGGGAAAAGCCTAAGCTAAGGCCAAGCTTTCATAATTAATAATAAGTCTGTGTGTCGCTATTTGTAACCTGGCAGCCCAAAGTAAAGTCCAACTATAACTTTGAAGGTAAGCAAGTTGAGAGAATGGGTGGAAGTGGTAGAGGGTCTAGGCAAGACTTGCACAGAGGAAAAGATGAGGTTCTGTCAGTATGGACATAATTAGTTTTTTCAGATCATTTTCAAGTATGTGTAATTACACACCTGTAATTGCAGATACATGGAATGCTGTTGCAGTAGTAGGGTTGCAAATAAGATACCGACCTTGGAAACGTAGGGAGAGCCTGTCTCAAAATTAAATTAAAAAGGGCAGGATGTAGCTCAGTATGGTGCCAAGTATATGTAAGGCTCTGAGTTCAATCCCTGCTACCACAAAAACAAACTAAGGTTGTTCATAGTATTATTAAGAATAAATAGGCTAGAAGACTCAAGTAATCCTTAAAATTAATACTAACCTAATTGTAGTAGTAAACATCTGCAATTCTAGCACTCTGGAGGCTAAGGTAGGAGGACTGTCAGTCAGAGGCCAGCTTGTGACACATGGTGAAACCCTTTCTCAAAATAAAATGAACACTAGCCAGGTATTGGTGGGGCACGCCTTTAATTCCAACAATTGGGAGGAGAGGCAGGCAGATATCTATGAGTTTGAGGCCAGCCAAGTTGACAAAGCTAGTTCCAGGACAGGCTCCAAAGCAATACAGAGAAACTGCCTCAAAACAAACAAACAAACAACAACAACAACAACAAAAACCCACTAAAAATATCAATCCTAATTATAAATCACCTCCTTTACTATCTTAGTTTTGGTGTTTTTGAAGCCACTCATGGTTCTTATGCAGTCCTGGTACTGTACTGCCATTTGATTATAATTATTTAATAACTAAGCAAACATTTTATACATGTTTTTCCAAGTTCCCTAATCAGACCATTAAATCTGATTTCTTTTGGGTCTTTGATGGGCAATATAAATTGCTCTTATCTCTTATTCATGATATTTTATACTGTATACTATAGCACATAACCTATTATGCTTGAGACCTGTGATAATAAATACATACAGTTTTTACCACAAATAAACTGTATATATTTAACCATATTAGGTAGCAGAGGCACTGCAGGTGAAGCATACAACGTGTAAAAGAACTCCTACAAAAGCAACTGCTATATACATATGCAGTAGTTAATATTACATAGTTAATATTTTTCTTTAAAATGATTCGCCTTTTGAAATGTGGGATTATCTGAGATGATACTATCTTTGAAATTACAAGTCTTGATGATGGGGGAAGTCATTCTGTATGTATGATTCTCTGAAGTTATAGGCCACTGCACCACCCAGACAGGATTGTCAGTTAACCACTTTAAGGGTAGGGCTTCTGGTCCCTTTATGAGTTCCACACTTGTTTTATTCTGTTTTTGTACATCCTGGATGGTCAGTGTCTGTTTTATATAGTGCCTTATAACACTTTTCCCATAAATATCTGTTGGCTTAAGGTTCATTTTTGATACCGGAGGAATGTTAATTTGGGTATTAAACTGCTGCAGATCATAACACCATAGATTTACTGATATATTAGCCACATATGGCCTCAGCCTTCCTCTTTGTCCTTCTGGCCCTACGCACTCAACCCATTTCATGCTATGCTTTACATGAGATAGGGGTCAAATCCCTAAGAATTGGACATCTACCTCTTGATGCCAAGATTCTGGAGTGATAATGGTGACATCTGGTATCCTTCAAGTATAACATTATTTATTTGTACTCTTAGTTTTAGTCTTTGGTCATTTATCGAAGTCTGTCAAAATATACATTTTCTGTTAACTTCTTGGACTTTTTATTCATTCTCCAAAGCTATTCTACCATCCAGAGCAGTATCATATTTTTCAATAGCCACTGGATTTCCTAATGGTTCTGGGGAGGATTTTCCTCCAGTGATTGGGAATGACTAGACCAATTTTGACATGAGCCCCCAAGGAGTTTCCCAATGTTAAAGAGTTGCTTTGTTTCTTGTTGATCTACATTCATTGGTCCAGTGTCAGTCTTTGCCGCATCTCCTACACAGTCCAGAAGTTTGGGGCCTTTTGTTTGAGTTATTCCCAGAAGAAATATTATTTCTAGGTATGTCTTGTCTGAAATTTCTTCTCAGATGGACTACTCTACCAAATTAAAGCATTTGGTATTTTGATGTCTCCTCATATGTTTTGAGATGGCTTCTCCTACTCATAAGAAACCCTTAACTATCCTTGCCATGCTTAAGTCCGAGGAATCTACCTATTCATCTCTCTAAGAAATAAAACATCCTATAAAATCTAGAGTATAGGCCTATTGAAGGGATATGATTTGTTCAGTGGCATCAAGCTACAGAATGTAAACTGAATCCTATATTAGTTTCTTTCCCATTCTGTCACTCCTTGTATTTCAATTTATAAATTATATTAGGAAACATCAGGCTTCTCTAAATGCCTCCCTTTTATAGATAACCACTACAAAAGGCATAAGAATTAACACAAAGTTCGAAGTTTACAGAGAATAAAATCTCCCCAGGTAATGGTAAACATTTAAACTTCTAATTAAGAAAGGAACAAAACAACACATTTCAACAGCCAAAATTGGAGAATTAAAAGATTACAAAGGCCTTACTTCTAACAACATCTTTAAAGGGAATATAGAATTTCTTGGAACTTCTCCATAGAGAAGGCTGGCCTTGAACTCAGAGATCTGCCTGACTTTGCCTCCTAAGTGCTAAGATTAAAGGCATGTACACTACCACCCAGTGGGAATGTAGACTTTCTAAGGCCCTATTTTTCTGGTGTCAGATAAATGAGCACCTAAAAAACTACAAATAAATATGTTTCAGGGCGGGGGAGACAGCTTTCTTGGCAAATGCTTGCCTTGAAAGAACAAAGACCCAAGTTTGATCCCAGAATCCTAGTTATTGTTTTTGTTTTATTTAAGAAACAAAACAAAACAAAAAACTAAGGGCTAGAAAGACTGCTCAGGGATTGAAAACATTGCCTGTTCTTCCATAGGATCTGGGTTCAATTTCTAACACCCACAGACAGCTCACAACTGTCTCTAACTCCAAGATCTGACACCTTCATATAGACATACATTCAGGCAAAACACCAATGCACATTAAAACAACACCAAACAAAACCAACCCCTGGGCGTGGTGGTTTACACTTGTAATTTCAGTTCAGAGGATTTGGAGACTAGAGGATCCCTCAGACTTGCCAACCAGTCAACCCAGAGTACCTGGCAAATTCCATACTAAAAAGAGGCCCTGTCTCAAACAATAAGGTGGCTGGCACCTGAGGAATGACAGCTAAGATTATCCTCTGGCCTCCATATACACATACATACACTAGTTTTTGTTTGTTTTTAATCAACAAAAATAGCATAACAAAAATTATTAAATCTGTTTCAATGTGAAAAACATAGACCGTAAGATTTTTAAAACTTTGACAACATGTAATGTTGGATCTTTACTGCTTTGATTAATCATAAGTTAACAAACTAAAAACACAGACAAGAGAGCCTGTTTTGTAAGTAACATTCACAAAAAACATAATGTGCCAAGAGTTAAGTTAGGGACCAGAAGCTAACAACTTCTAATAGAAAAAATATGAGAAAAAAAATACATATACATATCTTTTTTTTTTTTTTTTTTTCAAGACAACCATGGCTGTCCTGTCCTGTCCTCTCACTCTACAGACCAGGCTGGCCCACAAACTCAAGGACCTGCCAGCCTCTGCCTTCTTAGTGCTGGGATTAAAGATGTATACCCCCACAGATGGCAGGAATCAAAGATTTTTGAGGCAAAGTTTTATCTTATTTCCACAGTATTTTGTATATAGTGTCTACATATAAATATACCAAACAAGAAGCAAATATAACTACATAGTAAATAAATGATTCTCTTCTAAAGAATATAAAAAACTATATTTGTCTCAAATACAGGACTAAGATAATTACATCTGTAACAGTGTATGGTAGCATATACCTTTAATCCCAACACTTTGGGAGGTAGAAGCAAGTGGGATCAAGGTCAGCCGTGTTTACAATACAAGTGCCAAACCAACACAGTAACAGAAATATCTCAACATATGTATATATGTGTAAACATGCATACACACACACACATACACACACACACACACATATAATTACAGGCAGTGTTTTTTTTTTTAAATCCCAGTTAGTTTCAGGTTTAAATAAAGACCAATGACCATGAACAAAGAAACATACCAAAGAAAGTGCTGCTTGAGTCTGGTGAAGGAGTGGCTCCGGGAGAGAGGAGAGGTGAATGCATTCAGGGATTTTAATGGTTCCTCCATCCAAATCCGCTATGATTACATCTAACTGAAAAAGATTTTAAAATTAACTATAATTCATAAAGCATATTTCTTGTTAAACAAATGAACTGGCTAACTCAAACAGAAAGACCAGTTGAGAAGGAGGTTCTTGGCTACCACAGTAAGAGTTCTACATTTAGAAATTCCCATTACTTTACATTTCCCAACTTCCTGTGAAATTAGGTACAGTATGTGAGAACAAGTTTGCCACTGAAGGATGAAAAATGATATGTGCTCTTTGGCTCTTCAAGACAGCAGTGCTGTAGGGATCTTCTATTTCTCTCTTCTTTCCATAGGGAAAAACAATGAATTTGAGCAGTCAAGCATTAATCATCCAGATGAGGACACTACCTGAGAGAATTGTAATAGAAAAGCAGGATGGAAGGAGGATTGGATGGTAAATGATGTCATGGAGCAAACTACTCAGGCACATGGGAGAATTTCTATGAAGTGCTATGTGTTAATAAAATTCCATGTTAACTGAGCTATTTCATTTGGACTGTATAAAAATCAATAAATAAAGCATTATGTAACAAAAATTACTGTCTAGATACAAAACCAGGCTTGGAATAGTGATGCACACCTACAATTCTGCACTTGGTGGGCAGAAGTATGAGTTCAAGTCCATCCTCAGCTATGTAATAAGTTTAGGTTTATGATCAGCCTGTGATACATTAGACCCTCTCTCAAAACCAAGACTAAAACAGACAAAATCAAGGCCCCAAACCTCATCTGTAGTGTTTAAAAGATGACATTTAAAATCAACTTACATAGAGGTGAGTCTGGGACCAATTTGGGTGGACTCACTCCTACACCATTCCCCGGGAGTTCCCTAGGTTGGCACCGGATTCCCCTGCCCCTGTGTCCTGTCCCCATCGAGAGCGCTCTTGGAGCTCTGATAACACCCCCACCCACCCTCACCGAGAGCCTACTCTCCCCCTACTCTGTGCTGGACCCTGCCCAGACCACTGCTCTGGTAGAGCACTGGGACAGAGGGTGGAGGCAACAATCCAGACACCTTCAGGGAACCTCTGGGAGCAGCTCTGAACACAGGAGACCTGCCTATCCTCGCGGGACCACCCATAAATTCCACCTGCCTGGTCTCTGACCCCCACCACCGGTCCTCTACTAGAGTTCCAGGCCCCACCTATCTCTGCGGGACCCTCTGAGTTCCTTCCAGCAGTATTCTTGACCCCCATCTCAGGGACTTTGCTAAAGAGGCCTCAGCTGCAGAGTGCCAGGCTCAGGCTAGATCTTCCTATAGGTACAAGGAACATCCTGACTCCCAGCCTTCAGGATCTTTGACCCCTATTGCCAGTCTTCTGCTGGACCCTGATCGCTGACCCCTATTGCTGGGCCCCTGCCTATGGAGAGACCTCCTAGAGAGCTTGGACCACCCAGGGCTACAGCCATCGAACCTCTGACTCACCTAAGCCCACCGGGGAAGTACCATAGAGAGAGAGAGAGACCCCACCAACACCTACTGGAAGAAGCTATGGGAAGATGGCAATACAAGAAAACACCTAACAACAGAAAGACAAGCATGACACCACCAGAATCTAGGGAATCTACACCAACTAGACTGGAACATAACAAAGCAGATGAAGCAGAAGGGAATGACTTAAAAATTATTGTCATAAAAATGACAGAGGCCCTCAAAGAAGATATGAGAAAATCCCTTAAAGAAATGGAAGAAAAAACAAAAATGTGGAAGAAATGAACAAATTTCTTAAGGAAAGTAAAGAAAGTACAGAAAGCCCCCCCCCCCCCAAAAAAAAAAAAAAACCAATTAAGTAGGTGAAGGAAACGGTTCAAGGCTTGAAAACTGAAATAGAGAAAATAAAGACAACAAAAACCAAAGGAATGCTGGAAATAGAAAAACTGGGCAAACGATTAGGAACTACAGATGCAAGCATAACCAACAGAATTCAAGAGATGGAAGAGAGAATTTCAGGCACAGAAGATAAACTAGAGGAAATAGATTCATCAACCAAAGAAAATCATAAATCCAACAAATCCTTAACACAAAACATCCAGGAAATGTGGGACATCGTGAAAAGGACAAACCTAAGAATAATAGGCATAGAGGAATGTGAGGAAGCCCAGCTCAAAGGTGCCAAAAACATATTCAACAAAATCATCGAGGAAAACTTTCCTAATCTGAAGAAGGACATGCCCATCAAAGTACAAGAAACATACTGAACACCAAATAGACTGGACCAAAGAAAAAAGACCCCTGGACATATAACAATCAAAACACCTAACATACAGAATAAAGAAAGAATATTAAGAGCATCAAAGTTAAAAGGACAGGTAACATATAAAGGTAGACCTATCAAAATTACACCCAACTTTTCCATGGAAACCCTCAAGGACAGAAGGTCCTGGATATATGCTCTACAACTACTAAGAGTCCATGGATGCCAGGCCAGGATAATATACCCAGAAAAACTCTCAAACACTATAGATGGAGAAAACAAAGATATTTAATGACAAAGCCAGATTTTCACAATACGTATCTACAAATCCTGCCCTACAGAAAGTTTTGGAAGGAAAACTCCAACCAAAGAAAGTTAACTACACCCACAAAGATGTAGGCAACAGATAATCCCACTACACCAGAAACCAAGGATAAAGCAGGACAAATATATTCACAATTCCACTGCCAACAACAAATCAAAAACAAACAAGCATCAATAATCAATGGTCCTTACTTATCCTCAATATTAATGGTCTTAATTCACCTATAAAAAGACACCAGCTAACAGAATGGATAAAAAGAAAGATTCCATCCTTCGGCTGCACACAAGAAACACATCTAAGCTTCAAAGACAGACATTACCTCAGGGTAAAGGGTTGGGAAAAGATCCTCCAATTAAATGGACCCAAGAAGCAAGCAGGTGAGGCTATCCTAATATCGAACAAGTAAGACTTCAAACTTCGTATTCATCGCAGGAGAAATCCATCAATACAAAGTCTCAATTCTGAACATCTATGCCCCAAATACAAAGGCACCCACATTCGTAAAAGAAACGCTACTATAACTCAAACCTCACATAAAACCTCACACACTTATAGTGGGAGACTTCAACACACCACTCTCACCACTAGACAGGACCACAAATCAGAAACTTAACAAAGAAACAAAAGAACTAACAGAAGTTATGTCTCAACTGGGGTTAACAGACATCTATACAACATTCCATCCAAACACAAAAGAATATACCTTCTTCTCCGCTTCGCATGGAACCTTCTCTAAAACTGACCACATACTAGGCGGAATAGCAAACCTCAACAGATACAAGAGAATTAGAATAGTTCCCTGTATCTTATCAGAATACCATGCTTTAAAATTGGAATTCAACAACAACACAAATAGCAGAAAACCTGCAAACTCATGGAAACTGAACAATGTGCAATTGCACCACTCCTGGGTCAAAGAAGAAATAAAGAAAGAAATTAAGGACTTTCTAATATTCAACGAGAATGAAGACACAACATACCCGAACTTATGGGACACCTTGAAAGCAGTGCTACAAGGGAAGATCATTGCACTGAGTGCCCATATGAAGAAAACAGAGGATAGTCACATAAGAGAATTAACAGCACAACTGAAAGCCTTAGAACAGAGAGAAGCGAATTCACCCCGTAGGAGTAGATGCCAGGAAATAATCAATTTGAGGCTGAAATCAACAAAATAGAAACCAGGAAAACAATACAAAAAAATTAATGCAACGAAGAGTTGTTTTTTTGAGAAAAACAACAAGATAGACAAACCTTATCCAAACTAATGAAAAAGCAGAGAGAGAACATGCAAATTAACAAAATCAGAAATGAAAAGGGGGACATAACAACAGACACAGAGGAAGCCCAGACAATTTTCAGACCATATTTGAAAACCTGTATTCCACAAAATTTGAAAATTCAAAGGAAATGGACAAATTTCTAGATAACTATCACTTACCAAAATTAAATCAAGAATAGACAAACAACTTAAATAGACCTATAACCCGCAATGAAATAGAAGCAGTCATTAAAAGCCTTCCAACCAAAAAAAGCCCAGGGCCAGAAGGCTTCAGTGCAGAATTCTATCAGAAATTCAAGGAAGAACTAATACCAATACTCCTCAAATTGTTCCACACAATAGAGACAGAAGGTTCATTACCAAACTCTTTTTATGAGGCTACAATCACCTTGGTACCCAAGCCACACAAAGACACAACCAAGAAAGAAAACTACAGACCAATATACCTCATGAACATCGATGCAAAAATACTTAATAAAATACTGGCAAACTGAATCCAAGAATACATCAGAGAAATTATCCACCACGACCAAGTAGGCTTCATCCCTGGATTGCAGGGATGGTTAAACATATGAAAATCTATCAACGTGTTCCACCATATAAACAAACTGAAAAAGAAAAACCATATTATCATCTCCCTAGATGCTGAAAAAGCCTTTGACAAAATTCAAAATCCTTTCATGATGAACGTCTTAGAGAGATCAGGGATAATAGGAACATACCTAAACATAATAAGAGCAATATACAGCAAACCAACCATCAAACTGAATGGAGAGAAGCTTAAGGCGATTCCTCTAAAATCAGGAGAAACACAAGGCTGCCCTCTCTCTCCATATCTCTTCAATATTGTACTTGAAGTTCTAGCTAAAGCTATAAGACAACAAAAAGAGATCAAGGGGATCAAAAATGTAAAGGAAGAAGTCAACTGTCTCTATTTGCAGATGATATGACAGTTTACATAAGCGACCCAATAAACTCTACCAGGGAACTTCTTCAGCTGATAAACACCTTCAGCAAACTAGCAGGATACAAGGTAAACTCAAAAAAATCAGTAGCTCTACTTTATTCAGATGACAAAGGGGCTGAGAAAGAAATCACAGAAACATCACCTTTTACAATAGCCCCAAACAACATAAAGTACCTTGGGGTAACGCTTACCAAACAAGTGAAAGACCTATATAATAAGCACTTTGTGGCTTTAAAGAAAGAAATTAAAGAAGATACCAGAAAATGGAAAGATCTTCCATGCTCTTGAATAGGTAGGTAAACATAGTAAAAATGGCAATCTTGCCAAAAGCAATCTATAGATTCAATGCAATCCCCATTAAAATCCCACCACAATTCTTCACCGACCTTGAAAGGATAATAATCAACTTTATATGGAAAAACAAAAAACCCAGGATAGCCCAAACAATCCTGTACAATAAAGGAACATCGGGAGGCATCACCATCTCCAACATTAAGTGCTACTATAGAGCTATAGTCCTGAAAACAGCCTGGTACTGGCACAAAAATAGACAGGTAGACCCAAAGGAATCAAATTGAAAATCCTGATATAAACCCACACACCTATGAACACCTGATTTTCGACAAAACAGCTAAAATTATACAATGGTGCGAGGACAGCATCTTCAACAAATTGGTGCTGGCACAATTGGATGAGGGTGGGTAGAAGACTGCAGATAGACCCAAGTCTGTCACGATGCATAAAACTCAAGTCTAAATGGATCAAAGAACTCAACATCAATCCAGCCACACTGAATTGTGAGAGAGTAGGAGGTACCCTTGAATAAATTGGTATAGGAGATCACTTCCTGAACTTAACTCCAGTAGCACAGACACTGAGATCGACAATTAATAAATGGGACCTCTTCAAACTTCGAAGCTTCTGTAAGGCAAAGGACACAGTAGACAAGACCAAACGGCAGCCCACAGACCGGGAAAAGGTTTTCACCAATCCTACATCTGACAAAGGGCTGATCTCCAAAATATACAAAGAACTCAAGAAAGTAGTCAACAAAACACCAAATAACCCTATTAAAAAATGGCGTACAGAACTGAAGAAAGACTTCTCAATAGAGGAAATCAAAAAGGCTGAAAGACACTTAAGAAAATGCTCCACATCCTTAGCTATCAGGGAAATGCAAATCAAAACAACTTTGAGATACCATCTTACTCCTGTCAGAATGGCTAAAATTAGAAACACCAATGACAACTCAATGCTGGAGAGGATGTGGAGAAAGGGAACACTCCTCCACTGCTGGTGGGAGTGCAAACTCATACAGCCATTTTGGAGATCAGTATGGCGGTTCCTCAGGAAAATGGGAATTAGTTTTCCACAAGATTCAGCAATCCCCCTCCTAGGCATATACCCAAATGATCCACATCCATGCAACAAAGACATCTGTTCAACACTGTTCATATAGCAGCAATATTTGTAATAGCAAGAACCTGGAAGCAACCTAGATGCCCCTCAACTGAAGAATGGATAAAGAAGACATGGCACATCTAGACAATGGAATACTACTCCTCAGAAAAATATAATGGAATCTTGAAATTCGCAGGCAAGTGGATGGCACTTGAAGAAACCATCCTGAATGAGGTAACCCAGTCACAAGAAGAGGAACATGGCATGTACTCGCTCATATATGGATTTTAGACCTAGAGCAAAGGATCACCAGCCTATAATTCACACTGCCATAGGAACTAGGATACAAGGTGTATTCTAAGAGATTCATATAAGGTTCCTCACAGAAGGGGGAAAGGGACTTGTCCCTCCAGAGCACATGGGAAGTGTGTGGAGGCAGTTAATGGAGAGAGAAGTAGGAGAAAGAGAAGGGGAGGAAAGGAAAACATGTGTGACTAGGAAGATTGAGTCAGGGTAGGAATAGAAAACAGGGGAGAGAGGGGGGGGGAGAACATAAATAGGGAGCCATTATTGGTTTGAAGAGAAATCTGAACCTAAAGAAAGGTCTAGAGACCTACAAGACTGCTGCCAACTAACAGCAACAGTGGAAAGGCTACCATAAATGCCCTTCCCAGATAGTGAGATCATCAACTAACTTATCCACCATCATGGAGCCCTCATCTAGTACCTGTTGGAAACAGAATCAAACACCCATACCTAAACACTGAGTTGAACTAGAATCTAGATGCAGAGGGAGAGGACAAGACCAGGTTGCAGAAACACATACAAACAGCTGACTTGAACAAGGAGGAGTTAATGGGCCCCCAGATTGATAGCTGGGAATGCAGTATGGGACTGTCTCAGGCCCCCTAAGTATGGGTCTCAGCCAGAAGGACTGAGCAGTCTAAGGGACCTGAGACAGTGGAACCAGGATGTATTCCTGGTGCACAAAAGGACCTTGTGGACACATCCCCCATGGAGGGATACTGCCTTAACCTAGAGACAGGAGAGAAGTCATAGTCCCTACTTCAAATGACTTGACAGATCTACATGACCCCACCTGGATGGCATAGCCCTACATGTGGAATTGGGGTGGGGATGGGAGGGGAGGGTGGTCATGGTGCATGTGAGGGGGCAGAGAGGGTCGTAGGGAGGGAGGGAGGGAAGAAGGGAGGGGAGCTGGGATCGACATGTAAAATAAAAAAAAAATTAAAAAAAAATCAACTTACATAAGCATGAATAACTTACATAAATATTTTGATGATGTGATTACAATTCATTCTAATTTATTCATTAAATTATGAAATCTTCAACTGGCAACATTTGGTTTGTCCTATCTATTTAGTAGTAATAAGATAATTTACATACTGTATGATACCTAATTTTAATAAACATATTTAGTAGCTTACACATGTTTATATGATACTGAAGTTAAGCAGAACTAGATATTAAATACAGTATTTAATTGTATACATGTCTGGGGGTCTTGTCTACTCTACAACAGTGTCAACGACTTCTGTGATATGGTTCTAGCTGCAGTTGCTGTATAAGGACCACCAAAACTTCCTTCTTTGCTGGCATTTCGAACAGAAACAGCATTACAAAGTCTTGTGGATTACAGATGTTGTACAACCAAATCCTTTTGGTAAAGAAATTTTCTTATATTCCCTGAAAAGTGCCACATAATCTGCTTCCTACACTTCAGTCATCATGCTTCAGAGTATACTCCCCATCTCATGTTAGAAGTCCCAGTCTATTACTTGTCAGCTCTCACATCTGGAAACATACCCAAGAGAAATTTGTTTCTGTATTCATAAATCTACCGATGCTACTTGAATGTTTTATAGCTACAAGCCACCACCTTTTCCTTCCTCTATGTGATAGTCCTTAAATAGTAATCTGTAGCTATTAAGTAGTACCAAATTATCACTTGAGACAATTTCTTCAAAGAACTGCAGTCTGTAAACTTTTGATTCTGACGTCCTCTGATGTAAACTGCTACAATTCTATTAGGAGCAAACACACTATTCTTGAACTCACCTTAGCTTTTCTTTATCCACATGGATTAGGAATATTTTGGGGGCTCATATTGAAATTGAGTTCTACATAATTTAAACTCTCTGCAAACCATTTTACTCTTGCTAGTTAGTTTTCAGGAAGTCTATATTGGCAGGTCTCATTTGAAAACACTAATAATTAAGAATTAGTAAGAAAATTATGAATAAAAAATATATTGTTAATTCTTATCATCTACAGCAGTGCTTCTCATTGGAAAACGGGTATTTATATTATGATTTATAACAGTAACAAAATTACAGTTATGAAATGGCAAAGAAAATAATTTTATGGTTGAGGGTTACCACAACATGAGGAAATATATTAATGGGTCACAGCATTAGGAAGACTGAAAACCACTGATTTACAGGAATATAGAGTTTCTCACATGAGGACAACATTAAGATAGAAATGATCTGCTATACAAGGGTATTTTAAAGTGAGTCACAGTGGCACATGTCACCACTTATTCAGAAGACTGTAAGCTGAAGGACTGTTGTAAGCTCAGGAGTTAGAGGCTAGCCTAGGCCATACAGCAAGACCCTGTCTTGTTTTTTTTTTTTTTTTTTTTTTTTTTTTTTTTTTTTTTTTGTTTAGTTGGTTGGTTAATTAATTAATCAATGTTTGTAAGAGAGATGGGGGGGCACACATGCCATGGTACATGTATAGAGATCAGAAGACAACTTTAGGAGTTGATTCATCCCTTCCTCCTTGTTTGAGGCATGGTTTCTCTTATTTCTGCAACATTGCTCACAACAGGATAGCTGACCTAGAGCCTTCCAGGTGACTTTCCTAGCTCTGCTAGGAGTGCTGGAATTCCAAACATCACTGCAATGAACTCAGGTCAAGCATTTTTACCCTCAGCCATCTCCCCTGTCTAAAGCTATCTTATACATAAATAAATATATGAATGATTAAATTCTTTAAAAACTCTCATACTTGCAAAAGTAAATACACTTAGGCTTCTTGATATTGGTTTACTTCTAGTCTATCTTTTCTATGAAAAAAGCACCATATCTGAAAACAATAATGATGTGAAACCTTCTAACACTCAAATACGAAAGACTCAAAATCTAGACATTTTAGAACTAGATACTTCTGGAGTGAAGGGATAGCTCAGCCATTAAAGGCTAGGCTCACAACCATAAATATAAGAACTGGATACTTACAAGCTCATGAACATCAGTTTTAAAGATGGAGTGTACTCCAATAATGAAAGGAGTTGGAGAACTCAAAACTTCCAGTAGCTGAGCCGGAAGAATGGGAATATAAGGATAACTGAAAAAAAAAAATAAATAAATAAAAATATTTTATTTATATTTTCTTTAAATGTGAACACATTTCCTTTTATTTCTATGCAGTCTGAACTATAAACATGTATTTATTACTTATTTGAGAATTTCATACCATGTATTTTGATTATAGTCACTGACTCCTTCCCAACTTCTCCCAGATAAACCCCTTACCACCCTATGCCACCTCAGCTTTCTGTCTTCTTTATAATTCTTAATTATTTTAATAAATAAAATTTATTATAATATTCATTTAATATAATGTTTAGTAAAATAATAAATACTATTTACTTACTTTTTAGTAACACTGTTTTATTTTTATTAATTATTTGAACTTCATACAATGTATTTCTATTGCAGTCAGTACTCTACTCCTTTCAGATCTGCCCCACCTCCTTATCTGCCAACTCTGTGTTGTTTTATTAATTTATTTTTGGTCTGATTTTAAATTTATTTATATTTAGAAATTATCAAGTAGGCTGGTGTGGTGCCAGCTTTTAAGCCTCGTATTTGGAAGGCAGAGATAGGTTGACCTCTATGAATTCATGGCTGGCTAGGTCTATATACTAAGTTCTAGGCCAAGCAGGGATAGGTCTACATAAGAATTCACAGTAGTTGTGACAGCATGAATAAAGTTTGTGTAAGCCCAAACCAGGCCAAATCTGGCCTGGAGATGGGAACCATGCATTCCATCCTACCTCTAGCTGTGGAGATAATAACATTGTTAGCTGACAGGAAATGAAGAGGTGGTTTTCTCTGTAACTGCACCTGGTAAGTCTACCATACTCCAGTGGAAGACTACACATCCAAGATTATTTGGGTAGCACAAATTGGCCTTGAAAGTTTTATTTATTTATATTTAAGGATACAAAATTGGATGGGTAGGGAAGGAGAGGGGATCTGGAAAGTGGTAAGGGGTGGGGATATGGTCAAATATGAATTCAAAGAACTAATAATTTTTTTAAAGCACTGAAGAACTTAAATTTTATTGGCATTATTGTTAACACTAAAGTTCTAAAAGGAATAATTTTAAAAATATCAATGTTTAAGATAGGATCACACGCAAACACAAAAAAAAAAAAAAAGAAAAAAAAAAGAAAAGGAAATAGGATCATCATCATAGATGATAAAACACAAAGTAAATGGAACCCAATAAGTGTCTGACTTCTTCCTCCTAAAATGCATGCTGTTTTTAAAGCACTTTACATTATGTAAAATCCTGATATCAGAGGGGAGTGCTGACGGACCTCCATTCTCAAGGCAATGTAAGGACTTGTCTAAATTACACTGTGTTTGATGTTCACATTCAACAAACACATTTTAAAATTTTATGAAAATTCCAGAGGTGATCTAAAAGTCTATCTATTGTTCATGAATTTAAGTTTCTGGGACATTATGATTAGAAAATTAAACCAGGTTAAAATATTCTACCTGCCATCACAGTTTAAATTTTTATAATTTGAATTTTTATTATGGAAAACAATTAATATACCTCTTAAAAGGAAGTGGGAAATGTATAATGAAGCTGTCTAATCTAGGTTTGACAATGACCAATGTATAGCCACGTATGTCTACTGACTTACCATCTATCTTCTGTTATTGTGAAGTGACATCACATCATTTACATACAAATAATTTAAGAGTTATCTAAAACAGATGAAAACCCTACATTAACAGAATTCCAATAGCTCCTAAAAACTAATACATTGGCATCAAATAGCACTAACTAAAGAATTTTATCAGTATTGAAAGATAATTAAATATTGCTGGCAATACTATTCAAAGTAAATTAAATATTTTTCATTAAATTAATTAGCTCTCAGTCATATACAACTTGGAAAAGTCCCAAATTCTAGACTAAATTTTATTAGAATCATGACTCTCTAACGTCATATACAAACCTCCATAGTTTAAAGCAATTGGGTCATGGCAATTTGATTTATCAACAAGTAATGCATAATGTGGGAATAAATAAAATTATCAAGTAAAAACTTTACCTGTATTTAAGAGGAAACATTAAAGATTCCAGGGCTCTACAGGCATCACTAAGTCTCTGGAAACTTGCTGAGTGGAAGAGAACCTTATTTTCTGTAAGGACTGCACAAAAGAGGTTGAGGACATTTTGAATTCCTGAAAAAAAAGAACAAAGGCTTACTTGACACAACAAACTGTATTGTATTGCCACGAATCACAGATTATCTATGACAAAGAAACAAAATGAATATTCTAAAAATCTCCAAAGGAAAATAATTGATCACCTTAACCTACACAACCTATGGGCATCTGTCTTCCTCAATGTGATGTCTTCCACATGTGATGTGATACTCACTGATCATGTGAGTTGTATGGATATTTACTACTACCTTCTTTACTTCATCTCCAAGATTCCCATTAAAGATGCTGACACTGGTTTTTGTTCTCCTTTGTCTGATGTTAAAACAGTTGTGTTTCAAGATGACACTTTAGCCACCAACAATCACAATATAATAGAGGTGAAAATTGGACAATGTGGCCGTCCTAATATGATAGTACAATGCATTTCATATTTGTGGTAATGTAGGCATAACAAAACTATTGTTAGTCATATGAAAGCAGAGAACAATTAGGTACAGTGAATAATGTGATCAATGACTATATAATTGGTTTATGTTATTTACTATACCACAGTATAGTTTGTATTCTGTATTCTTTCTGCTTACAAAGAAAACTCTATATTGTGTTATGATAGCAGTAGCCTCAAACATTTTATATTTACTCAAATATGTCTTATATACTACAACTGTGATTCTTGACTGTATCATCTTTTGTGCTTGATTTAATCTAATGTTATTTTGCATACAAGGTCCTCAGCTTAACATATTATGCTAGCTATCTGTTTTCATTGTATAGCCTAGATATGTAGCAGGTTATATTATCTAAGATGTGGAAGGGCATATGTTTGAGGATGTCTGCCCAATGATCCACTTCTAGGAATACATTCTTGCTATTCTTTGACACATAACTATATGAGGTAAGCACCTAATCTTCTGTCCACTACAGTTCCCGTTGCCTTACCATAGGATCATAGCAATGGAGCCAACCAACCATGGAGTGAAATATCTTAAAATAAGCCTTTCTTTTTTTAAGTTGTTGTGGCTGAAGGTATTTTGTCACACCGAATGCTGACTTACACAAATGGTTTTCTATCTTTTCTCTTGAGATTCTGTTGTTGTGAAATATTAAGATGTGTTATATTTATTTAATCTTTGGAATATTTAATGATGCCAACATGTGTGGCATTCGGCTATGTTGCATTTGTTTAACTCTGTAAAGCGGTGTTACTTTGCCTGCCTAAAATACCTGATTGGTCTAATAAAGAGCTGAAACACAAATAGCTTGGGAGGAGAGCTAAATTGGTGATGCTAGCATGAGAGGATATGTAGAAGAAATCTAGGGGAAAAACGAGGGAGAGTAAGCAAAAAAGGAGAAGAGGAGACATCAGGGGACAGTCACTCAGCCACAACGTAAGAAGGGAAGCAAGATATATAGAATAAAGAGAGGTAAAAAACCCAGAGGCAAAATATAGTTAAAGAGAAACAAGATACCAGAACTGTTACACAGAGAAACCCAGTCTCAAAAACAAAAACAAACAAATAAAAAACAAACAAACAAACAAAAAAGAGGATAATTTAAGTTAGGAAAACTGGCTAGAAGCAAACCAAACTAAGGCTGGGCATTCATAAGTAAGATTAGGTCTCTATGTATTTATTTGGGAGCTGGGTGGCAGGTCTCCAAAGAGTAAAAAAACAACTACAATTTGGCATACCAATATGAGACTCAAATTATTGCAGTTGGCTTGCAAAGGCTGAAAAAGAGGAAGGAGTGAGTGATGAGCAAAGGGGTTAAGACCATGCTGGGTTTCTATGGGAAACCCATAGAAACAGCTGACCTGAACAAGGGGGAGTTCATGGATACCACTAACAACTTGGAAATCAGTATAGGACGGAATCAGGCCCCCTGAAGTGGGTGACAGTTAGGAGGCCTAGGCAGTCTATGGGGCCCTTGGTAATGGAACAACATTCATAGCTAGTGTACGAATGGACACTGGGAGTCCACTCCCCATATAGGAATACTCTCTCAGTCTAGACACACGGGGGTGGGGGGGCTAGGGCCTGCCCCCAAATGATGTGACAGAATTTGATGATTCCCCCATAGAAGACCTCACCTTTAAAAAACAAAACAAAACACAAAAAAGGGTTTCTTTTCCTTTTCTTTTTTAGATTTGTTTAAAAATAAATACATTTGTTTGTTTATTATGTACACAGTGTTCTGTCTGCATGTATGCCTGCATGCCAGAAGAGGGTACCAGATCTCATTACAGATGGTTGTGAGCCACCATATGGTTGCTGGTAATTAACTCAGGTCCATCTTGAAGAGCAGTCAATGTCCTTAACCTCTGAGCCAACTCCCCAGCTCAGGCCTCACCCTTTCTATGGAGCAGAAGAGGGAGGGAATGGGATGGGAGTTGGTGAGGGCATGGGAGAATGGGAGGGAGAGAGAATTGGGATTGATATATAAGATTGTTTCTAATTTAAGTAAAAAAAGAAACTGAATCATAAATTATGCATTCTTTTCATGTGATGGTTTTCATTCAGCACAATTATTTTTAAGTTAATTGTTATATATTGTATATGCCATCACATGGATAGACCACAGAATTTACTGTGTTTCTATTAATACTTTTTTATTACCCTTAGTGAACACTAAGACTGTTTTCATAAAGCAGTTTTACTATCATAAAATGACAATGGACATTCATGTGCAAATATTTTATGGCTTTGTATTATCATTTTCCTTGGGTAAATACGTCCCTAAAAATGAACTTAACTTTAAAAAGCAAACAAACTATAGTCCAAGGAATCTTTTCATTTCATTAGTAAAGAACAATATTCCAGTTACTCAATATGTCTTCAAATATGTAGTCAGGCAATTTTTTAACAAGCTGGAATTTCTGATGTGCCTATCTCCATCCTTAAGTTGCATGCCTCATTATAATCAGACCAATCAGTAAATGCTAAGAATCCTTCCTCTATCTCTTTTCTTTGCTGTTAAGTTGCTCTCAAATGACCAAACTATGTCAGTGGGGTGATACAAAAGTTAAGTCCCTCAGGAAGCTTGCTCCATTCTTCTCTCTTTCTGACACAGCTAAGCTAGAACAGATAATAAGTGGTTTCATTGTTTTCTTTATCATGTCAGATGATAATAACTTAAATCTTTTTTGCCATCCATAGGTTTTTGTAAGAACATATTTAAAAAGCCAGGATAAGACATACCTAATTGCTGAAATAAAAGAGCCACACTAGTGCCTGTGACAGGAAGACTGTCATGCAAAGGAGTCTGAATCAGCTGTCTGTCTCCTGCACCCAAGGAAAATAGCTTCTGCAGAATGGAAAAAAAAAAAAAAAAAACATATAAAAAGTCATGAGACAATATGAAGCGATAACATATAACCTAAAACATATAAGTTACACTATGTACAACTCAAAATATCAGAAAATGCAGCCCATAAAAGTTGAAAATTAAGTAGATGAGACACAAAAATCACTGATAATTATAACTGACTAAAAACATGTTCACATCAGAAACTATTTGCATTTTTGAAGGCCCACAGGACCATTTGCTTATTTGATGAAGGGCAGCCCTGAAGATTACCAAGACCACCTTTGAGATTCTGTCCTTGGAACAGGATGGAGAAAGAAGTGGGGAGAAAAAGGGGGAGAGAAAAGAAGAGGTAGAGAGAGAGAGGATAATTTAAGACAAAAGACATTGGGAAAGGGAAGAATTGAAAATGGTAATTTCTCTCTATGTGACATCTTTTTAAAATTTAACATTTTGGGGAGCTGGAGAGATGGCTCAATGGTTAAGAGAACTTGCTGCTCTTTCAGAGGATCAAAGCTTACTTTCCAGCATCCATGTCAAGAGGTTCCAACCATCTGTAACTCTTAACTCTAGGGGATCTGCTGCCTCTGAGTTCCTGGGATATCAGCATGTGTGCACATGTGCACACACATAAATTAAAAATATACATGAAACTTCAAAAATTCTTCTTTTTTGATGGTCTGAAATACAGTGTGATTTTTCAGAGGGTTGTCTTTCTTCCTCGATATTACATAAGAAACAAAATACATGGCCAACTAGTTGTTTTTTAGGTTTAAGGAGCAAAGTTTTCTGTTTTGCTCTATTCAGTACTGGAGATTGATTGCAAGGCCTTATACGTGATGAGTACGTGCTTCTCACCAGAGTCAAATCCATAGTTCCAATTCTTTTTAAAAAAACAGATGTCCTAAAACAAGTAAATCATAAAAGCAAAGATCCTTATTCTCCTGCTTCAGAGACTTTTTTTTAATGTCAAGATATAGAAAATTTTTTAAAAAATCTATTTTAAAAACAGTCACAATGTTATAAAGAGAGTTTTCTTAATGTTGTCTCCTAATTTTGGTCAAATTTTTTACTTAATAAAACTGAGGTATAACTACATACAGAAATAATAAAATACCAAAAACATACTGAAAAATTCTATCTAAAGAAAGGTATGTCCAAAAAGTTAAAAAGTAGAGTTGAAGTTATATCAAATATGCCTGCTAATTATGCTATGTAAAAGGGGAACTCAGTCTTGAAATCACTCTTTTAAAAAATATTTAGTTTTATTATTTTGATTGTGTGTGTGTGTGTATGGTATATGCACATGAATGCAAGAGCCCACAGAGGTTAGATTCCACTGGAGCTGGGCTTACAGGCAATTATGAACCACCTGATGGGTGCTGGGAATCAAACTCTGGTTCTTGGGAAGAGTAACATATTCTTTTAAGCACTGGGCCATCTCTCCAGCCTTGGAATCAGCCTCTTGACTTCAGAATGGAATTGTAGGTGTCTGGAAGGCACACCATAGAGACAAGGTTTAACTAAAGTAGGATCCTCTGTAAAATAAATGTATGTTAAAGACTTCTTTCTCTTTATTCATAAATTAAGTCACTGGAGGGAAAAAAGCAAAACCACACAAAACAGTTTATCTGCCTTTCATTCTATTTACCTGAGACCCTCCAGCAGCTGGGACAAGGCAAGCACAAAGATTTGCAATGAGACTTTCCAAAGAGACACTCAGGCTGTCCACGTACACAGTATAGATCAAACCCAAGCAAGCCTGCAGAGAGAGTTGCATGCAGTCATTTCATGGCAGTGTAGTGTCACTAAAAATAAATTGTGACATCTCTCCTAGGAAATTTCTCTTTGAACCACATAAATTATACTCTGCACTGAATATGAAATAAATTTTAAGCAACAAATTAAGTTAATTAAATTTTTCTCTGGGAGCAGAACACCCAAATGAGTTTCCAAGATAAGTCTGTAGAAAGCAGGGAGCCATAATTTGTAAAACAGGTATCCTATTTAGATGACCACTCCAGCTAATTTCCAAGGCTGAATTGGTTTTTTTTCTATATAGTTTGCCTGGTTGTTTTAAACTTATTTTAAGAAACTCCACATTTCAAGATAAAAATTTAGAAATACTGTTTTATGGTTCTTATAAATCCAGAATGTTTATAGAAACTTAAACTTCTATGAATTACAACAAAAGACAGCAAGAAACATTAAGATAAGAAGATTAACACTTTGAGCTTGGAAGACAGGAAATGGTAAAATAAGATAAAATTCAATCTTTATTTTCTTTATTTTACTTGTATTTGGGGGTGTGTGTGTGTATTCATGTGGATGCTAGAGAAAAATTCCAACAGTTTTCTTCAGTAGTTCTCTAATATATGGAGCTTATGGGTTCAGCTAGACTAGCTGGCCTGTGAGCTCTGGGGATCCTCCTATCTCCCTGTCCTGTTTCCTCCATCCTAGCACTGAGATCAGACATGTGACCAGTCCTATGCTTGGCTTTTAAGAAGTGCTAGGGATCCAAATTCAAATCCTCTTGGTACAGCAAGCTCTTTTCTGACTGATTCCTTTTCTTGGTCCTAATACAAACTGAATCAATCTTTTGGCTTACTGAAATTTATGACTGAAAAATTAGTAATTGTCACTAATTAATAGTAATGTAGTAAAGACACAAACTAAACAGTATGTCACAAAACACACTAAAGGAGTCATAATTGTCACTGTAATAGTAAGGATGTTATTAATTCACTTTCTAGTTTCTATACTTATGTATTAGAACAGATATTTATACTTTCGTACATTTTCATATTTGAAAATTATGAATATTAATAAAAGGGGGAAAATATGCAAGTAACAAGTGGTGTCTCACTAGATAGGCCAGGCTTACATAGGACTTCAGGTCCTCCTGTCTATACTTTAAATACTACAATTATAAAGATGGGCCATCAGGCTTGGCAGTAAACAATATTTTAAAGACAGGATCAGAATTATCTGAAATCTCACATAATACTGTAACCTAACTCCACAAACTTAATAAACATGTTCATAGTTACTATACTATGAGTGCATTTTAAGTTTCTTGAAGGTAGTCAAATTGTTGTTATGATTTATAATTTTGCATGTAACATGAGGTCTATTTTAAACAAACATTATACTCATTAGTGTAACTAATTATGTTAACTTATTCAGGGATTGCTTTCATTCAACACAAATTTGTTTCTTCATGTCACACTATTTTTAGTTTATTGGTGAATCACTAACTCAATCTAACAGTATTTCCAATTAAAAAAAAATCTTGTCACCTTAGCTCATTTAAAATCAGTTTATATAATAATATAGATTAAAAATGAAAACTATAAGTTCATTACCCTAAAAATTTCTGGGTAGTCTAATCTAGATACTAAGACGAGGCTTTTGGGAGCAAATACTTCTGCAGGTTGAATTAAACCAGACACTTCTTCACCTTCAATCTCTTCTTTCTTTGTTCCCTGGAAAAAGAGAAATTACAATCAATGTACAAAGTTTCCTAGTTTCACAATTCACACAATATATTCAAATCACACACCTTACAGATAATTCATAAGAATCCAAATTAATTACAAATATTAGGCAAGAAATGGCAAAGTAAGTAACATTTGTTTCATTTATTTACAGATATATGCACCAACTTTGAGTGTTTCCTTTCTGAGGAATCAAGGTAAGGCATGTTTAAGTTAATCTTAAATAATGACCCAAACAATTAAAAATGTAACTTATTTAAGTATAAAGTTGGTCTTAAAAAGAATGAGAAAAGTATATTTTAGAAATAAGGCACTGATTTTCATTTCTGTTTTTCTGGCCCAATCTTTCTTTCCTATGGGGATTCTAAAGCCTGCAGAAAGCTTAGTCCTCTTGAAATAAAGCACACTGAGTTGTCAAGTGTTTCTGCTCACATACAACAATAGCAGTTGCCTTAAAAAGAAAACATTTTTGTACAGGAAGCAAAACTTGGTGATTAGGGTCATGAAAATGTATGCTTATAAGTGGTTAAAATTTAAAGTAGATTTACCACAATTTTTTTAAAAAAAAGCACACACCTAAGTTTCAACAACTAACTACTACTTAATAAGCCTGCAAAAATATTATTTGGAGTGCTAAAGGTTAAGAGCACTGTTTGGTCTTCCAGAGGACCCCAATTAGATTCTCAGCATCCACACAGTGGCTCACAACTGTCTGTAACTCCAGTTCCAGGGGATTTGAAGCCCTATTCTAGCCTCATGACACTGAAGGCAAGAGGTACATAAATATAAATGTAGTCAAAACACCCATGCACATAAAACAAAAACAAATCTTTAAGTTGGGGCAAAGGCAAAACTGAGTTCCATAAAGGCCTCGGACATAGCTTGTGAGCACAAGTCATAGGAGGCAAAGCACAAGGTGTAGTGCTGCACGAGCCCACCCCAAGAAGGATACACCGTTAGCATGTGCATCTTTGCACTCAACTTTATGGTGGCCAAATCCCACTTCTAGTACTTTGTGTAACAGCAAAAGAAGAGGTCCTAGGGGAGACTGTGAACTTGGGTAGTCGTCTGAAACATCACCAAGCAGAAAGAAAGAAATTCAACAACTGGCTGCACTATGATGTCAGTGGCATAAACACATTGCCAGTGCCATGACCTGAGCACAGAGGGAAGCACCATGCATTCTATCCAACCATCACCAGCATGCAGAGGTATCATGACAAGCACGCCAATGCACAATCTATCCAACCATCAAGGTGAGCGAGATGGCAAGTACCAGTGGCTTCTGTCAAGTTATCCAAGGCTCCAAGTTCTCGCTGCCCAAGGTGATGCCAGCAGAAGCTGGGCTTCACCACCAAGAGACCCAACACATTATTCTAGATGAAGAATACCTTCAAAGAGTATAAATAAATCTTTAAAAGAAGTTTTGAGTCCACAAATAATTCCTGTGTACTTACTGTTTGACAAGACTCTGACACACTGAAAGTTAAGAAGGGAATGGGGAAGAGCAAACTAATGAAACATTAAGATCTGTTAATGAATATTCTGAGATTCTGGAATATTTCCTCTAACTAAAGCCCCTTTCCTGTCCCTTTTCCAGTATCTAAAGTCCAGCTTAAATTCATTCCTCCCGAAACCTTCCTTTCCTGACCTATGCTCTCTTGCTTTCCAGTATGGCTCACTAACACATCAGATTTGCTTATTATGCTTGCTATTCAACATTTCCCCAAATGCCACAAAATGCAAGTTGTCTACTTGACATCTCAATCATGGTCAAAACATAATCTTTCTTCCTAAACGTCATTCTCCTATGGTGAATGGTCCGTAACTATTAATGGCAATTCTACTTTTTGGGGATGTAGCAAAACTCACATTCTTTTCTCAATTATGGCCCATATCCAACTATCAAAATAGCCTGAAATCTTAATTTTCCCACAGCTACCACCAAATAGAGAGCTTATATCTTGTTTGGATTAGTACAACAGCCTGCTTTCATTTCCTTTATTCTTTTAAGCCTTACTATTCCTGGATGCTCTTCAGGCACATCAGGAATGGTCCCATCTACCAGGGTTCCTATTGTTTCTTTGCCTAGAATGCTATCCACAGACAAGCTATGTCTGTGTTCCTGTTCTTTCTGCTCTGACAGCTACTGCTGCCCTCTCTACTTGAAACTGCAGTCTAACATCCCTCTTCCTTTTTCCTTTCCTTATTTTCCTTCTCCATGCTATTATTACTATCTAACACATTAACAATTTTGAATATCTCAGCCTTTTTCTTTTGACATGTTTCTCCCACTGAACTAAACACAGAGCAGAATTCTGTTTTGTTCAATTACGATCACCAAGCTCCTAAAGTAAGGGTTGGGGCCATGAGGTTATTACCTGGTATTTATTCACTGCATAAATGCAAGAATAAATTTTCTTAGAATAATGGGTATTTCACCAAGAGAAATCTTTTTTTCCTCACTTAGAGGCCAGGAAAATATATTTTACTCCCCTTTAGAATCCATTTGGTTTCTAGTATGACAACCAAAAGTTAGTTGTCCAAGGAATGCAAACATCTAAAGGGAACTATGTGTATATAAAAGATCCATATACTCCTGAAAGACAAAGATTTTGGTTGTTACAAAGTACAAATAAAGTGGGTCTAGCTGATTTCTGAAATCCTTAAAAATAATAGAAAAGTAATGATTATTAATTTACCAAAATTCCTACACTTAATGAATCATGGCTTTCATGAATTACTAAAAAACTCAAAATGGCAAAAATGACTGAAATTCCTGGAACAGATAAACCTATCCACATTTTTAGGAGATTGTGATAATTGCCCTAGAGTATCATTAAAAGACAACTTGAGTAAGCAGATAGCCATTTCAAATAAATGATCATTGGACCACTTTAACCAAAACACAAAACAGAATGTGTAGCCATTACTTAAAGCTGTTCATTAAATACCCACCAATCATTAACTAGGAAAAAGCATCAATACAATGTAAATCAATATTAAGTAAAAACAACTTCACATTTTACATTTCTACACTGATTTTTCTTACAGATTTTGAGATCTACTTTTATAAATCCTGAAATGCTGTTATTCTTAATCCCTCTAACTGACTTTTAAGAACCAGTGCCCCAAAGGCTGGGAATGAAGTTCACTAGTGAGCACATGCTTAGCATGCACAAGGACCTATGCTCAACCCCAAAAAATGTCCCCAGTTTAAGAAACAGTCTTAATCTCACTTTGAAGAAAAAAATGAATGCAGACAATTGTTAGATAAAATAAAGTATTTTTCCTAAGACAATATGTTTCAATAATGTTTTTCAAATAATTTATCAGGCCATGGAAATAATGATTCTCCCATTTTGTGGTTAAACTCTTTTGTGTAATAATTATCATTGACACTGGTTTGTATGTTTCGTTTTGAGGCAGGGTTTCACTGTAACCCTGGATAGCTTTAAACTTACTATGTAGCTCAAACTGGCCTGAGCTCATGGCAATCCTCCTGCCTCAGTTTCTTGAATTCTGGAATTATAGACATGAAAATCCTGCTTGGCTTGTATACTTAACAGTGAACAAATTTTCACAAAAAAAAAAAAAAAAAAGCAGGAAATTAAATGAACTTGATACTTTGATACTTTGAAATTTAGTATTTGATATTGTAAAATATTGTTACATTATCTAGCTCAACGTTCTAAGTCTTCTAAACTAAAAGGATTTTAAAAATTTCAGTATGCCCCAATAAATTTACTGTAAATACTTTTACTGAATTATCCTGCATTGATTTGGAAGGTCACCTTATCGTTTTTAATTTTTGTTTACGTGCATTATTGTTTTGTCCACATGCTTGATCTGTGCAGCACATGTATGTCTAGTGACTGAGGAGTCCAGAAGGAGGGCATCAGCTCCCCTGGTACTGGAGCTACAGGTGTTGCCATGTAAGTATTGGGGATCGAACCCTGGTCCTCTAGAAGAGCAGACAGTGCTCTTACCCATGGAGACATCTCTTCAGACCCCATTTCATCTTTTATCTACATCAGAATCACTTGCCATACCTTATCTATTAGCAGGTATTTGTGTCTACTGGTTATTACATCAACTATGTGAGACTCTCCACCCTACATAGTCCTGTTATGCTTATAGTCCTCATGATTCTGCACGGGCTAAATTAACGCCTGTTATATAAATGCATTTCCGAAGGGTATTACACTATTGCACTTCAAGCACATCCTAAAATGCAATGCTAAAAGGTACTCTACTGATTTCGTGTGATGACTCTATATAGCTGAGAAGTTCTAGCTTCAGGAAGTTAATACTAGTGTTCAGGTTGGATACTCCAGCCACATGTTTGTTGTACCCTAATGCTTGATTTTCATACCAGAGTAAATGCTGCATTCAACATCTCTCTATTATGTTCATTTCTACTAATACCACATTATCCTACAAATCTTCCCACATTTCTCTAAACATTCAGTTTTTGTTTTTGGTTTGGTTTGGTTTTTTGAGACAAGGTTTCTCTCTGCCTAGCCCTGGCTGTCCTGGAAGTAGCTCTATAGACGAGGCTGGCTTCAAACACATGGAGATTTGCCTGCTCTGCCTCTTGAGTACTAGGATTAAAGGCATGTGCCACTATATCAGCTAGAACTAATTTTTATACATTGATTCTTCTCTAAAAAACGGAATGCATACCTTTATCTATTGCACTGAGAAACCCTGTCTCAAGAAACAAAGTAAAACAAATTTAGTTCTAAATTCCTTTCTGAAATACATTTCTTACCACATCCTATTACACTGTCTCTTTAATAAAACAAAGACTTTCAACATTCCAGAATTAGAAAAGGAGAAGTCTAAATAGTTGCAAAAATCCTTTATGCTACAAAATTCCCCTGAAAAGATTCCTAATTTTCTGCCAAATGATTATTTAATTACAATGGAATGTTCACATGATAAAAACCTGGTCCTTTCAGGCAATGTCCATCCTGGAAAATACT